GGCAGGACTCAGCAACATTCAGAGGGGTTGATCGTTGCCAAGTTATTCAGCGCAAACAGGAGGCTATTCAGTTTATTTGTTTGAATGTGCCAGCAATTAATTTAGTAATAAGCATGTTCTGAAGGGACCATTTGAGAGGGTAAAACAAGGGCCAGACCCTCAGTCAGTATAAATTTACATCAGCTTGTTGAGTCGCACTTAGATTTACACCAGCGCAGGATTTCACTCAAGTCCCCTTAGGGGATACGTTCTGGAATAGGTGACTTATCTTACATAAGGATTGATAAGTGCTTCAGACACACATGCAGATGGTGATGCTTTCCATACCGCCCACAGCCCAGATGGACTGTCAGTCATTACACTGAAAGTAATTCCAAGAGTGGCCCTACCCCAGGATCCACCAGGAAAAAAATTAAGTGTTCTTTTATCTGCTAAATCTACCATGCTTTACAATGCGCAGACACCAGAAGCAAAAATATTGTAGGAATGAGCCTGCTATTTACATAGCAGATGAGATATAGCAATAAAGGGAAAATGCTGAAGTCACCCTTTGTTTAACGCAGATTAAATAATATTTCGCTTCCAGATCTTTCATCCAGGGATCCCCAGGAGCAATAACATCCATACGTCCATACAGATGGCCAAAATACCTTCCTAAAGATGTTAAAGCCACAGATTACAGCCCTTGCCAGCCCATGCCATCTACACTAAACAGCCTGCAGGGCTGGAGGCCTCGGGTTAAAATAAATCATTCCTTCAACATCTTTTCACCTAGTTCTGGTGCTGTGATGCTTCGGTATCTCAGGACAAGCCAACTGCACGGCCTACACTTGCACCACGTCCAATGACGTCCTTGAGCACACGGAGAGGCACTGGCCCTCTCGGCAGCCACGGGCTGTAGCGGGGGTCTCTGCTCCCTCGTGTACTTCGCATCACCCCTCGCGGCCCGGCCTGCACTGACCCCCCACGCCGGGTGCTCGGATCACCATTCCCAACCTCTGGAAGCGGGTCTTATTTCCAGCACAAAGATCCTCAGTGCAAAATTTGCAGTCCTCTCTGATCGAATCACACAGCAAATCAGTTTCGACAGAGAAAATCACTGTCTGTGAAAACACCTTTTCACTTAACCTCCATCCCTCCCTATTTCCCAGGCAGGTTTCAAAAGCAATTTTCAAGATAACCTTTGAAAACAAGTGCAGATCCATTAGAACTACTCGAGATCTCGCTGGAGCCGTCCCTTGGTGAGCCGTGCTTGCTTCAGATTAGCAGCAGGGAGCGATGCCGCTGAGTCCGCGCGTGCCCGGCCTTGGGGGAAAGGCCCGGAGCGCTGACATTGCTGCTGTTTGGAAGGAGGGCTTGCCCTTCGGCAGGGCCAGTAACTGAAAGGTCTCTTTCTGGCTGCAAACATCTCAGGAAACCTGCTGCTTGCTCTATCGACAAGCGTGGCCCTAAGGGGAGAGGAGAGGAGGCGACGCTCGCAGCCTGGGCCCCAGCGCAGCTGCCTGCCCTCGCATTTAGAGCCTCCTTAGGCCATTCCTTCCCATCAAAATATGAGTTGCTTTGCCTCAAATTCTGGCCAAGGCAGCAGATTGTGCACCAGTCAAAAAGAGGTCACTGGAATACAAGTCACAGGAACAGTATTTCCTTAAAAACATGATTTTTCAGAATACCTGGTGGGGGGGAGAGGGGAGGTGAAAAGGCAGAAAAACCTCAATCTGAGCTCTGCAAAATGTAGAATATTAATTAACCCAGTCTCTTTCCGAGATGCAAAAATCCAAACAGTTTCTTGTCTAGGTTGCAACTAGCATGTCACTGCACGCCGTCGTTGTGCACAGGCAGTGTGTGAGCAGAAGGCAGCCCAAAATAAAATAAGCAAACCCCAGTGTGCACCTTTCTCACCCACTCCAGGCCACGTCTCCAGGGCCTCGCACCCTTCTGAGCAAAGAACGGCCTGCTCATGACAAGCTTCACCAGAAGCATCAGCTCCCTAGAGCCCCACAGGGCACGTGGCAACACGCTCTCTGGAGAAGCACAACCAGCCTGGATTGGAGATGACCCTCTTTAAAAATTTCCCATTCTTGGATACACTTTTTGAGAGTGAATTTGGTGTGCAAGCAACTGGAAGGAACAGGAGCACAAATTGCTCTGTTCCTAGTAAAGCCATGTTTTAGAAAACTCCCAAGTGCCCTCCCGTAGGGTAATCTCATTGCCATACAAGAGGAAGCTACTGCTCCAACTGCACGTGCAAACTAGTAAGTGCTGCCTTCACTTCTTTTTCCTCCTCTTCTGTGTCAGTAAAGGCTCCTTCCTTGGAAGCTGGATGCCAAGGGCAGCTGAAGCACTCCTTGTGCTTCAGCTAATTAACATGAGATATGAAATCAGGCCAGAGGAAACCCTCTTGGAAGAGCTGTCTGTAAGTGCTCTGCAATCATACTGAAGCCCAGCAGTGGCCAGCCCTAGTCCAGCTGGCTATTAGCGGCCTGTGCCGCCTTGAGAGCATTTTGGATATAATTCCAGCTATTTCTCTTGTTCCTGAAGAGCAGGGCCAGCCACAGCAACACAGAGCTAAACGTATTAGCTCAGCAAGCACGAAGGACGCAGCGGTAGAAGGTCCCAGTCTCTTGCACAACACAACTTGTCCAAAGGAACCGCTTAGGCTCCTCACCTCGTGGATAAGCTGTTTTGGAAGTGACATAACCCACCTATATCCCTGCCTTCTGGTGCACATTAGAGCTGGGCCCACAGCCCTGAGCGTGGAAAAGCTGCATTCGGCGCCACGCAAGCCTTTGCATTAACTGTGTCACTGACACAGAAAAGTCCCGCTCGTTTTTCCCTAAAACCTGAAGGCTCTGTGAAAAGGTACCAAGGGGAAGCAAAGGAAACGCGAGCTTGTGGGACAGGTGGAGAAAAATGGGAAGGGGCTGCATGGCAAGGTTATTAGAAAGAAAATCCATTACAGGGAGATGCTAACACGTCAGCACAGAAAGAAAATCCATTACGGGGAGATGCTAACACGTCAGCACAGAAAGAAAATCCATTACGGGGAGATGCTAACACGTCAGCACAGAATGGGATATAATACATACATGAGCATATAACATCCTTGTGCTCAGTCTACAACAGCTCACACACTCTTAGTACTGTGTGCACCAGGAGGGGAGGAATTCGGGGCAAAGCAATGAGGCCCTGGGCAGGTAGCGGGGGCAAGTGGCAAGGCTGCTGTCATGCTGTCCGTGCTCTGCCCTGCCCGGGAACGGCGACTGGAAAAACGCTCCAGTTTTGTGGCTGTCTTGTAGTATTCACAGCACCGATGAGGAAGGTAGAGCTTGAATGCACGTTCTTTGAAAGCACATGTGATTTTCTCCTAGTAAAAGGAAACCATTTAATGCTAGAGTTAAAAGAATGCCAGCTCCCATATATGATATTGTTTTATAGCCAGTTCTGTTGATTAGAAACATTAGGACATGCGAAGAGAACAGCTAATGTGCTATAACCAAAATGCTAATGTTAGGAAATCAGCAATCACATGAAACTAATTTTAAGTGAAAAGGCACAGTCTACAAATTATGGGTAAAGGTTTGCTAAGCAGGTGCTGAGAAAGAAGGGCGCTAAAGCAACACGCACACAGACACCCCACGGCAGACGGCTCACACAGCGAGGAGGATTCCTGCAGCCTGGGGCACAACGAACACCCAAGAGATTTCAGCCCTCCGGAGGGTTATCAACGCTGACATTGCAGCGGGGCAGTATGACTGCCCTTGTAATGACCAGCGCGAGGATGGCAAGTCAGGGGCTGCAGTGGCTTGAAATCAGCAGGGCTGCGGGGATGTGAAATTCCTGAAAAATCCTGCTGTGAGTGGGAGCAAACCTGCTGTGCCTTGCAGGAGCCCAGGGGAACATTTGTGTCTCCTGCTTAGGAAGTTTTCTCACCTTCGCACTGAAGCATGTGGCATGTCTTGTCCACAGAAACGGAGAATTTGGGACACAGCTTGGATATTCACCTCACTTCAAGCAGTTCACCTTCTAAAAAACAACAGCAACAACAAAAAACCCAAAACAGCAGCAATATTCATGCAACCCTTTAAAATATCACAGCAAAAGCTGTTAGCTGCCTGGCTACAAGAGCAAAGGAAATACAGACTTTGGGTTTATTTGTATTTTTTTTGAAATCATAAACGACCTGTTTGAAAATAAAACACGGCATAATGAAAATGCATTCACTGAAGGAGCACTAGCCCATAGCCCCAGAGCTGTTCTGCAGTGCTTTATTCACTTAGAGTCCTCCTGCTTCTTGTCTGATTTTTAGCAGCACTGCTCCCTCCCCCTCTCCAAACTCCTAGTCCTGCCTTGGGCGGCTCATCCCCCAGAAGCAAAGCCAGTCATCCTACCTGTCAAACACCCATCCAGACCTGGGGAGGGCAGTGGGGCACTGAACATCACTCACAAAATGGAAACAGACTTTAAAACCAGCCAGTTGTGCTGCCCGCTCCCTCCCAGGTGCTGTTGCAGCCTTTCGTGTCGCTACTGGGGTGCAACAACAACTGACTTTCAGTGGCGCTCACACTGCAGTCTCATCCGCTTACTCAAAATACAAACCACAAGAAGGCAGCCACATACACATGCTATCTCAGCAGTGGGTAAGGCTGTCACAGGAACTGTTGTGACAAACAATAAAAAGCAAAAACAAAAAAAATCTCAAGGAGATTTACAGCAGTTTAATGAAGGCTCTCGTACCAAATCTTTAACTCAAAGGTACAGACAAGGTTACTAAAAAGAATAACTTACAATGAAAAAAGCTGATGAAAATTGCCCACCTAGCCATGGAATTCATTGCAGTTTAATGCTGTGCTTAAATACTCACCGTACAATAGAAACAGTCAAATCACCACCAAGGTACACAATTCGCTTCCATTCTGTTTTCAATTACATGTGTTCAGCATGTAACTCAACCTCTGGAAGTTACGCTGAAGAACATGATCTTTATGTTTGTTTTGTTTTTTTTTTGTTTCTTTTTAAACACTCACTGAAAATAAATATCATTTAAAGAACACACATGAAATGCAACCAGATGGACACATAGGCACTGCTACAGTCTAGTCCTCTTCAGCCCTCTTCAGGCTACAAACCAGTAAGTTTTAAACCACTGATGGATGGAGAGCAGGGCAGAGCACAGCAGGTTATGTACTACATAAGAGCACATCTGCAAAAGGTCCCAGGAGAGTTTTGTTGAAGATGCAGCGTATCCACACCAGGTATACTGTGAAGGGCTTAATGTTTTCCGAGAAGGTGTGATTCTGATGGGACAAGATATAAGGCATGTAAGTGTTTTCCCCTTGCTCTTGTATCCACACTTCATATTTCACTTCTCTGACTTTCAGGTACTTGAGGTTCCAGGGGATCTGCCAGGACACGGCAAGTCGAGCTTCGCTCGTGCCCTGGACAGACGCTTGGCACGTGGCATCCCGCACTTTGCCCGGGTAGAGGCTACCGGGCCACTTCTGCCTCTTGGGTCCAGGCTTGGACTTCACAGCTTGCCTGATGACGTGGATGAGAGAAGGGATGTCTACCTTGGTGTCCTGGTAGGCCCGGAAGAGCCACTCGGGGTTGCGGCAGCAGAGGTGCCGCGGCACTTCCGTGCTCTGGATGATGCGCTCCTGCTCGGCCTTGTCCAGGTGGGCAATCCCACCCTGATCCCACGGCCTCTCCGGGTAGGTGACGGTGTCTTCCCTGTTGCTGTTCTGCCACGCGATGTACTGCAGGTCCATGCCAGGAAGGGTTGCCAGCGTTTTGTAAGGGGTGTAGTGCTCCGGGTTGATGGCGTAAGGAAAGAGCTCCACCACCGTGGCGCCTCTGGGCAGGAAGAGGGCCGTCACCAGCTGGGCCCCGTGCATGCTGACCAGCATGGACGCGTTGCTGATCAGCCGCACGATGTCGGAAAAGGAGTGCTCCTCCAGAGACACCGTAATGGTTTTCATCTGAAACTCCTGCGCCAGGGCCAGGATTAGTTCTGCCTCATTTAGGATAAGCCTGTTGATGGTCCGGCTGAACACAACGATGTACTCCTCGCTGGAGCCTTCCTCCAAGCTCACGTTCAGCTTCTCCATCATGAACTTGGTGAACTGCCTGATCTCGTTCCCAGAAACCAAGATGTTGGCCTTTGGCCCTTGGGGCTGGACAAACCCGTACTGGTACCAAGTGGTGATTTTGGACAGGCCCACGTACGATTTAGTGAAGCAGAGGAGCCTGCCCAAGGTTTTAAGCTGCTCCCTGAGGAGCGGCTGCTTGTTACTCAGTAACTTGTAAAGGTCGAAATGAACGCCTTCGCTCCAGCCCTCCATGAAGAAGAGCCGTGCCTCCCGATCCAAATCGGGGAACTGCTGCATGGTGTAATAGATGGGGAGGAGGTCGTCGTGGAAGACGTGCATCAAGTTGTCTGGGTTGAACCTGTTAGTGATGAGCGCTACGTCAGGCACGAAGACCGGCTTTGGCATAAACTTCAGCGCGGCCGCGGGCAGCTCCACGAAGTTGAAGTACTGCGTGTTGTGATCCTCCACCGAGGAGAGGTCGAGCAGCGCGGGCTGGAAGCGGCGGGAGCCCAGGTTGGGCAGCATCACCGAGGCGTTGCTGTGGAAGTAGACGAACTCCTCGGCCTCGGTGGAGTAGCAGAGGGACTCGAAGCGACAGACGCGCTCGGTGTGCATGCGGCCCGTGCACACCATGCGGGTGCCGCCCTCCAGCAGCGCGTCGAGGGCCGCGCCGTAGTCGAGCTGCCCCTGCGCGAGCTCCCGGGCCTGGCGCGCCAGCAGCAGCTCCTCCTCAAGCGCGGAGACATGGCGACCACCTGGGGAAGGGAAATCGAGAAAGGACCTCTTTAAGTGTCGTTTTACAGCCCCACCGTAAGCCGTGTTTTACGGAGCGCTCCAGGGAGTTTAAGCTTTTCTTTCCCCCCCAGATTTTTTCACCCCATAGCAAATGGAACTATGAGCTGCTCTACCGAAAGGCTGCCTCTCATTTTCATTTCTACTATTCAGGAGAAGAAAAGTAAGTTCACAGATGACCTCTGAGAGGCTTTGACCTGTGGTGTCCTCACTGGGGCTTTGGCTCTCTCTGCTTTCTGCAGACCAGCCCAGCAGCAAGAGGAGAGCCAGCCTTGAAATCACCGGGCCAGTCAATCACGTCTTGGATGACCTAACTGCCTTTGTAGAGCTGCTGGAGACCTTTTGCATGACCCCACGTACCCAAACACTGCCTCTTGTCCTCACCGTGAGGACAGCAGTGCAAGGAGCATTGTCAAGTACAGATTTTGACATGCTCCACTGCAGTATGAAAAGCAAATTATTCAACATGGGTTCATCAATTTAGGAGGGTTTGTAGATCTGTGGACCATCCTTTGGGAGATTCCCTAACCACTCTACTATTTTCTTGACAGAATCCTGAATGACAGGTTGGAGTTTCCATGATGTTCCAGAGAAAACAGCTGTAGAGGAGACAAGACAGCTCTTCCTTTTACTTGGGGAACCAATGTCTCATTAAAATCTGACTTGCACCAGCACAGCCAAGCATGAATAAAATACATTCCAAGCACTTCCAGACATGGTTTCTTCCCACTGCATCTTAAGAGTCTCTTGTGCTGCTCCAAAGCCTCCCTCTTCCTTTTTCTGTTATGGGAGAAATCCAGCCTCCAATTTCTTTCCATATAGAAACACTATCGGTTTATACCAGGAACTGACTGTATTTTCCACTGTGAGCTTCAGCTGAGGTATTGATTCACCTGCTGCGTTTATGGGCTCCAGTCTGCATTATGTATCAAGACTCACTGTTAGTCAGGCTGTAAATAATTGCATCCACGGCTCACAGGAAGCTCCTGGAAGGGAGGTTCCTGGCTAGTACATTCCCAATCAAACCATTTCTATTAGTGTTTTTTAAAGGTAGCAATTCAAACTCATTTTAATGCAAGTTTGGAGTGAGTGAAAACCAGCACTGTCTTTAGTACATGCTCCAACAACCCAAGCAATGGATCCGTTTGCATTTTAACCCACAGACCCTGGTTCTTATATGCCAAAGTGGAGGAAGACAACACGAAGGTCTTCAGCAAATGCAAACAGCTTCTTGCCTGCCAAAGAAGCTCTTCTGAAAAGACATATTGCAGCTGTAAAGCTTAATCCTGCAAGCTGCTCCGCACAGCTTGGAACTGAAGGGAAAACCACCCAGGGGTTTGGTGAAGTCAAAAGGGAGCCCTGAGGACTGCAGGATCCCTGCAGCTTGAAGGGGGAACTGGGGGTACCTGCAGACTGAATGATGCCACAGCACGGAGCCCTGGTTGTGCCACTTGCATTCAGAGACAGCCTTTGGGGACCTAGCAGCAAATTCCTCTCAATTTTGGAGTGGATTTAGTAAGCACAGAAGTGAGGTCCACCTCCTTTGGCAAATGGTCTGAAAAACTACCTCATTTAGCTACTCCCTAAAAGCACATAGCGAATTAAGAAGGCACTATTCTTGCTTCATAAGTAGAGAAAAGGAGGTAGGAAGGGACCCAGAGGGCACTTTAATTACCAGAATCAGCTCTTCCTAACCCACACCTAGAAGATGCTCAACTGCCTCATTCTTCATCTCTTCAACTAGTCTCCAGCAGCAAAAACATAAAGAACGAGGATAAACTTCTTCCTGTCCCTCAGCCTTCCTCTCCTCTGCAGGAAGTTAAACCTGTTCCTGACTCAGGCACTATGGATGCACGGACCTGCACAGACGAACAAGGGCTGTCACATCAGCTCCCAATCCTTTCTTCGCCAGCACAGGGGATGACAGCTGATCCAAAGGGGTAAAATCATCTTGTCCTTTCACTATCCCAGTACAGGGGTGCAGGGAGGTGTTTTGAAAGCGTTAGAGGCCAGAAGCCCTCAGCCACCCCTGCTAGCACCTGCGTTTCAAGGGTGGCGCCCACCCAAAACCCCTTGAGCCGTAGCAGCTCCCTTGGAAAACAGCCAGCTCTAATGCTTCACCCGGACCCACGTGTTCTCTCCCCTCCACTTCCGAGGGAAGAGCATTAAGAGCCACTCGAGAAGAGCCCCAGCCCCGCCGCAGAAGCAGCCCTGATGGATGCATCCCATGCTCAGGAGGCAGCAATTTCCATTTCCACCCCTGCTGCAGCAGCAGTGCCCAGTAAATGGCTAATGAACTCCGCTTTCTTACACAAATCACCTGTAGGACCCTCCTCCCCCAGTGCAGCTCTGTCATTTCCTTGCACTGAGCTGAAGTGCCTTCACCCACCAAGCATTGGGAATGGATGCTGAAAGACAGCAAGGCGAAAGGAATCCATCTTCACTCCTGCTCCTGGTTGCCAGTTTGTGAATCCTGGCTCGTGCTGCTTGGCTTAAAGCTGCCTTTGATGGAAGAGACCAGGGGAAGCTGGAGGGGAACGCGGTGCCCAGGCAGAACTGAAGAGCACAGGGAAACTGTTGCTCATCTCTTGTTTGCAGGGAGAGGAGAGCAGTGTGGGTGGGGAGATGAACCTAGACCACCAGGCAGTCTGCACAACAGACCCCGGGACTCATTTAAGAGATTAATTTTCTTGTTGTTCTTTTTCTAATTATGAAGGTAGGGCAGGATGAGTCACTACTATAGAGCTATTAATACGACAGGCACTTTTTAAAAAACCTCTTCTCCGTTTAAAGAGTTATGCTCTAGGTAAGGATTTGAAAGAAGGCTACAAAATGCAGCCCCACAAGGAGCAAACCAGGCACCCACGCGGCAGCCAGAGCCACAGAGGGGCACAGAAGGCTCTGCAAGAGCTTTGCCTGCAGGTAGAGCATGGTCAGCGGGAGGAAAGAGCACGTCCAGCCCCCAGGATAAGGCGCAAGCAGAGGTGCTGGCCTGGGGCTCACGCCAGGAGGATGGGCAGTGCAAGCAGCCCCAGCCTGGCACACGGCGCCAGCAGCACAGCGCATCCGAGCCCAATCCGCTCGGAAGCTCTCAGAAATGCAGGCATGGATGGAGCTGGCCTTGGGACGCAGTGGGAGCAGCTCCTCCTCCGCTGGTGACACTTTTCCAGGCAGGAATTATCACTCCACACACCTTGCTTGGCTGCCTTCCCAGGCTGGCTTTCCAGGACTGGCACAGGAGAAGCTTGGACAGTAAAGATGACATTTTGCATTCCCTCTGCAAAACGTCCTTTCTCCCACCCCAACACAGCAGGTTTAGCTAAGGCTGCAGTACATGTAATACACTCTCGAGTTTTAAATCCATACTTCAATTATACTCAGAGCTGAGGCTGCTAGAAGGCAGCTTTCCGGATCAGAAGGGACAGAAGGGGCCTGGGATTTAGCAACCAATAATTCTGGTTATTCACCATCTTATTCACCAGATGTGTTTAACAAGATGCATATCCCTTTCCCAGTACCTATCGCAGGAAAGACAAGGATGGCACACTGGATGACTGATGTACTGAATATTTTCTTTGTAAGGAGCAGTCAAGTGTTGACTTTTTAAACAGCAAAAAAACAGATTCTTGAAGGGAACAAACCCAGGAGTAAAAGCAACAAATATCATTAATGAGGCCTGATACGAGAAGGAAATATGAGAAAAAGGAGGATACCTTAATTCAGCTGTCTTAACTGGCATAAACACAGGACTTTATTTGGAAAAAATCAATCAAAACATAATATGAGCATTTAAAAGAATTGTTTCACAAAATCCTTGGGTATCTATTGACATTTGCAATCAAAGCAGGCTTACCTTTAGTTTTCATTGTTTAGCAAAAGACTGGAGCAGAAGGCAGTAAATAGTGTAACGTTTGCCAAAATTAGACTGCGAACAAGAAGACAGAGACTCTATGCAAAGGTCCCTACTGCAGGCATACTTTGCTATGGAAAAGAAAAATATCAGTACCTCCTCGAAACCTACCTACCAGTTGCACTTATGGATGGAAAATCTATTTTGCTCCCACTCAGTTTGTTCATTTTGGTCATTAAGAGCTAGGAAGAGCTCCAACCTGACCTGCAGGAACTTTTAATTTGGTGTTTGTTGATACTGCTGTCTTGGCCTACAAAAGAACAATTAAAAAAATAACAAATTCCAACACTAAGCAATCAGAATTAATGAACCAAGAAACTGGGTTAAAGACATGAGATGAGAAAGAGTCCTTTACTGTTAAGCTCTGTCTCCATCTACAATGAGGTGGAGTACTAAACCCCTCTGCCCAAAACGAGACCTAACACTTATCTGCAGAAAATTCCCTTAAATAAGACATATTTCTGATGAAGATTAACAAGCTTGGGAGATTTAAGAAAAATAAGCTAAAGAAAAAAAAGAGAGTCTTACTCTCAGTGGCCAAATCTTCTGACAATCCCAGACCTAGGGATGAAAATTTAAGGTACTTGGGGCAGGGGAGGAACCACGGCTGGACAGCACAGAAACTTAATAGACAAAGAGTTCATTCCAGCTGATTTTCCTTCATCCGAGTATCCCAGTGCAAACCATCAGATTATTTTGGTATAACAACACAGGTCGTATCAGTAGGAACCTATAAACCCTTTCCTCCTGCCGAGCTTGCTTTTCATCTATTAGCAAGACACCTTCAGCAACGTGAGGCAAACGGCAGCAGCTCTCTTACCTCGTTTCAGTGGTCCTCCTAAAGCACAGATGGAATAGGGGTGGCAGCAGGAAAAATCTAATTCTGCAGAAGTGAATTTAAAAGAATACGATGCAAAACCCAGAAAGCATCAGACACGATGAGGTTCAGCATCTCCAGCTCTGCTTTGGGGCTCTAGCTGCAATTTGTTATTTTTCTACATTTTACACACCCTTTCTCTCCTTCTCAGGCAAGGAGAGTTCCTGCATTGCTCG